CGGGCCAGGAAACAAGGGGCAGCAGCTGAGCTACGCGTGGTCACCGCAGCAGGAGGGGCGGGGGCGGGTAAGGAACGAGCTTAGCGGCTCTGCCCGTTAGCAAGCTCAGACCCCCCCCTCTGGAATTCAAGTTTTCATAATGGGCCCTGACCCACCCCCCTCCCACTCCCACTCCATTCCCACCCTTCTGCCACCTTCTTCCTACCCTGACTCTTCTGCCCCTTCCCTCCCTCCCCCTTGGTTTAGCCTCTTGCCCAGTGTCTCCCATCTCGCTCCCCCTCCTTCCCACCCCCTTGTACACACTGCTAGCCAAGGGCAGCGCTAGAGTGGCTGCCAGCAACTGGCGCCCTAGGCAAACCATGCAATCAGCACCCCCGCCTCCAAACCCCTCAATGATATTGCGCCACCATTTGGCACCCCATTTAACTTGGTGCCCTAGGTGACTGCCTATCTGGCTAGCAGTTGCTCCCAGAGCGCTGCTGGCACGGCCCCTATAGGGCCCAGGGGGCCAGAGACCCCACTTTACTTCTATTTTTCCTCAATCTCAAAACCATTTTGCATGAGCTTCAGAGAAGCCAAGTTTGTTTTTTCCTGTTACAGACTAACAGTCAAATAGCACCGTAAAGACGAACAAAACATGTATCATACCCTCTACGAGCATTCATCAGCACAACCCACTTCTTTAGATGGCTCCACAAAAACTTATGATGGCACCTGCATGTTATCAGTCTTTAAGGTACTCCCAGATTATTCATTATTTACGTTTTTCCTGTTTTCCACGAGTTCTCCAAGAATGACTGACAGAGGAGACCCCACAGGACTGTTGAAGGGCATAGTACTTGCCTTTTTTTTTTTTTTCTTAAATAAAGCTGGGCTGGCGAGAACAAAGGGGCTCTGGGAAATTAGTAAACTAGCCCGATTAGCTCAGCTAGCTGGAAAACTACTGCAACAAATCATCAGTTTAACAGAAGGAGGTAACAGGGCTATGAGGAGTAGCCAGCACTGATTTGTCAAGAACAAACCCAGGCAATGCATTCAGATTTATTTCGAGACTGCTAGTGGTCAAATAGATTTGTATGTGCAATTATGCTCCAGCAGTAACACATCAGTCTATTGTGGGGGGGCATATGTAAATCCCTCTCTGTTCCCATGACAGGAGCTTGCTCAGCATGCCCTGAGTTCACATCTAGACTAAAAAAAATAGCTCAGTTTTAACACTAACATACTTTCAAGACATTTCCTAGTCTAACTATGATCCAAGACAAAACTCAGGCAGTGTCAGCTCAAATTATGCAGCAGGGAAGAATATACATCAAAGCACCAAGGAGAAGAGTAAAATTTCCCGGGTAGTCTACTCAGTCTATTCATGGCAAGGAAACCCAGTGCAGGACTTATCCCTGGATTTGAATGGTCTTGGCACCAAGATTGGTTTTTTCTCCAAAGCTCATCTTTATTGTTCTCTAGGACAGAACACCAGCACCATAGTGTAAGTGAACTCCACTCTAGCTAACACACTGGCTCTCAGTACTGAGCTTTCTAGAATCTGACCAAGGGCACTAATGGCAAGAAACCGCAGTCACCCCTCACTTTTCAAGTGAGTAGGGACCCCAGGTGAGACCCTTTTATGTTAAGTGACCAGAATATTCCCAGGTAAAACAGAGATGGCCCTAACTCACCAGCTGGCTCAAGAGATCAACTAGTACTTCTAAAGGAGAATTAAATTGAAAATCTTTCTAGAGATTACCTGGTCCCTCCCACATCACTGTACTTTCTCCTCTGAGTCTGTACTCTATCTTATCTGCCTCTTCTACAAAGGACAGGCCACCTGGCAACTGGCTGGCTCAGGAGAGAAACTGTATCTTAGTCTTCTCTCCTTCCTCAGGTGACGGTGAAGGTCCCATAGAGCGTAAGTTCTGTTCTGTAATCACTATACGTTGCAGTAAAAGGGGCGGTCAGTGAGCACCAAAAGACTAGCAATTCAATTCTAGCAGTGGAGTTACCTGAAACAGTAAGTAGCAGCAGCCTAGGTTTCAAACTTGGGATGCCTTTGTGCAAAAGCATTAACTGATTAGAGTTGCCTGTATGGAGAAACCTATTCTCCAATGCTTCCCCCTTCTCCCCTGTAACAGTTATGTTTCAAATACCTCCCATTTAAATTTAACTAAGGCTTGCTTTAAAAATATTCATCTACTTCAACCCAATCAGAGGAAGTAAAGTTTACAGTCTGAAGAGTAGTAAAAGGATTTATAGTCACTTTGCTATTTAAAGTGCAAAAGTTTGAGAATCACAACAGAGACTCTGGATTTCTTTTTAAAACATGTATATTTTTAGAATTATAATGCTTACATTTTCAGTAAACCATCTTAATACAATTTGTTTAGTCTAACAATATATATTACAGAACAATGTGAAAAATGATTTTAATAGTAAACCAAGAAAATGGATTCAATCATAATACCCACAGTATCAAAGTCACTAACTTGTCACCTTTTCCAGTCACAGAATCCCAGCAGCCATCCATATTAAACGATGTTTGGGTTTTACGGGTTTTATCTGGATTAAAATTGTCTAAGTATAAATTCCACAAAAAAGGGCATCCCCTTCACAGAAAGAAGATGGAATAAAAATAAGGCTTTGTACTAGCACATTTAATTATTTTAGCAACCTTGGTCTAAGTAAACTATGTAGATTACTACAAGAATGTTTACTCATTCTCCAATTTCTTTTTCCATTCCCTTTCAAAGAGGATGGTTTTATTTCTTTACTTTTCACATAACCTGAGTTTTAAAACAAAGGAAAAAATGAAAGTTTATCCTATCAATTTCTTGTAGGTTAATTTTTATTGACAAATATTTAATACGGGATAATTTTACTGTTGAGTGCCTTGACAATGGGACCGTATACAACTGCAGGTAGAAACTCACAATCTCACATTAAGTGCAACAATTTCCGTGCTAGCAGGAGGAAACAACAAGGAGAGTTATAATCTTTCCAGTCACACACAAAGCTGTGACATTCACCAAAATTATACCTCTTTTACATGTGACAGTATATACAATGTTTAACAGATAAATATATATAGCTAAATTCTTTATCTCCAGTTACACAAATTTTAACTTTGCTTCACAATAATTCTACATCTGCACATTTTCCTAAATAGAAGTCCAACCTACTTCATCCATCCTATATGCAGAAGTCTTACCTCTTAAGTAGGACTAATTAGACTAAGCCTTTGTGGTAGTTTTTGTAATAAAAGTTGATTGTTTAGATGTCTCATTTATACTTAAATATTTTCCTCTTTTATAATCAGGGCAGAGAACATGCAAACCAGTTAAATACAAATACAAATTTATCAGAGAACTTAATTAGAAACCAAACAGCTTACATTATCTGAATGCACTTTTAAACACTGACATTTTCTTCAGTAGAGGTCAGTGCAGGCTAGCAACCACAACCTAGATCAGTGGGCCCCAATGTGGTGCCCGCGGGTGTCATGGCGCCCGCCGGGCCATTTATGTGCGCCCACCGAACAATTTGGGCCAGCCCTGCCCTGGGCACATGGCACATGCACTGTGCTGACTCTCAGCAGCCCCTGCGTTGCCCCGCCCCAGGGCACGTGGCCCCGGCCCCGGGCGCCCAGCAGCCCCAAAAGGTTGGGGACCACTGACCTAGATCAATTTTGTAGTGCAGAGGAAATCCCAGTGTATATAGACTGTAAAACCTACTTTTCCTTCCTCAGTGAGAACATTAGAACTGACTATTCATCCAGGTTGTTTTTGTGGATCCCTCTTCCATCCCTTAATGATTTTTACATGCACAGCAAATAGACTGTAGCTACTCAGAAAGCTACAAAAGCAATTCATGATATGAAAGAAAAGGAAAATCAGCAGAACAACTAATTTAAAGTTCTAGTTTAGGTAGCAAATTTAATTAGTTTATTTATTTTAAATTCCATGCATTGTAGAGCAAATATTTTGGCAGATTCATGGAAAAAACTTTAAATGTTTATCTTTTCCTATCTAAAAACCACCCGTCCCCCCCCAAACTGATTATTGCAACAGCCAAACTGAGTGAATTTTAAAGCATAAGGAGTCACAAACAAGTAAAAACCCTGAAGATAATTTAAATGTGGATTTTTCTTTGTTCTATATTTCTCTTTACTTAGAAGTATTAAGAACCCATGGAAACAAACGCAGAGAATTCCTGTTATTCCTTTAAAGCTTGTATTATACAGGTTTTTCACCAAGAGGCCACATATCTGCTGGAATCATGTATCAGTTCATTCTGATTTTTTTCCTCCCAAAGACTACCAGTGAATATCAGCGAAATACATATGTACAAAAATACAGAGCTTTTGAGAACTGGAAAAGGTTTAAAACACTACACTTATTTACAAGCTGTGACTTTCACTCCAATAAAAACACACATTTATTTTCTTTATTTTTGGTGCAACTTATACACAGACATATCAGTTAGTTTGGACTTTTATTTAAATAATCAACCATATATACAATAAAATTTACAACTGAAAAATAATCAGTTGGTATGGGATGACTGCAGTTTGCTGGACCAGAAGAGGTTCAATTCTAGGACTTTAATCCTTCCCCCATAATGAGAATAGAAAGTCAAGTAATATCTTTATTTTAAACATTATTTACTTCAGAAAATTAGGATTAAGGTGCAAAAATATATATGACTCTGGAGTCCATAACAGTACACACTAATTAGGGCCAGGTAGTCAAAAGGAAACAGACTTTGGTTTAAAAAAATAAGCTAGTATTTAATAAAAAGTTACCTATCTGATCTGTTGCTACTTCTCATTAGTTATCAATATCCGAGGGAAAAAACATGGTCCCATGAACATTTATTCCTGAACATAACCACTTACATACCATACTATTGTTTGTATCGAGGGCCATGCCTTTTAAAAGGTCTACCTTAAATGAACATCTTGGTATGATTCCAAAGGACTTATATGGGTAAATAATTCATATGTCCCAACGCACAGAAGAGGTTAAACAAATCTGCAGGAAAAATATATATATATAATTTTTAAACTCTTCTATATGCTGTGGGATTCAGAATCACTCACCCTGTTCTTTACAAATCTGGAAAGCTATCCTGGTCCAGGAAACCAGACAGTCGTGTGACTAGAAAGGCACACATTTGAGTCATTAACAGCCACATTGCAAGGCTTACTGTATGTCAACCTGAAACATTTATGTGAACAGAAATCTGACTGCTTTAAAAGAAAACATCAGATCTGAAGGATGCTCCAGTTACATAAACAACAGACCAACTGCAGCAAGCATCTTGACTTTACCAGCAGGATGTGATTGAAAGGAAAAACAAAAAAATCATTTTACACAAAACATACTAAAGTAACGATAGAAACTAGTTGACACAAGCTCCATTGTACATTTAAATTGATAAAATTGTCTGATGCTTCCATGGCCAGTCAGCGTTGAGTTGCCACAGGTCTGGTTTAAATCAGAATGTTACAATGAAGAATAGGTTATGATCTATTAAAGTGCATTCATATCAAGTCTTTAAT